ACACAGCCCCCCGGGTTGGGGGCCCCGTGAAAATATAAAAAAAAACCCAAAAAAAAAAAAAAAAAAAAAAAAAAAAACAGTCTTCAAGGATCCACTTCAGCTCAAGCTCTCTGTTCTGTTTCTGTCCTCAGGTTTTAGGTTCTGTGAAGAACCGCATTGAGGCATTTGCAGCTTCTCACGAAGACTTCCCTGCCATGCTGAGGAAGGCCCAGCAGTACCTGGTGGCTCGAGGGAAAGTGGACTGGACCGACATGGCTGCTGCCGTTCCCCCACTGCGGCGCTCTGATTCACTAGGTGAGTACAGAAAGTGGACTGGAGACGTGTTGGGACTGAGCTCTTTCAGGGGTAAATGCATCATCACACTTTACATTAAAGGTCTTTGTGTTCTCATTTACTTAGGAACATTTTATTTTATTTTTATTTTTTTACAAACGAAATAAAGGAACCAAAGTCTGGCAATGCAAGAATTGCAGGTTTTAAAAACGGAGCTGTACTATGTTAGTACAAATGCGAATATTTAAGTGAAATGACTTTAAATGATTTCAGTTCCGTGTTGTTTTGCGATTTGTGGAACTTGCTAAAAAAAAAAAAAAAAATCTGCTATTTAAGCAACTCAAGGTCAATATTTTGTTCTCAAGTGATCAGAATGCTATTCAATCTGCAGAAAATAAATGAAACTTTTATAAGGAAAAACATTTAGAAACTTTGTAATGACATTTTCTCGTGACATTTCCACTTTCCAGTAAAAAGCCGAAAGCCGTCGCTCGGAGACCTGATCCTCCGACACACTAACAGCCCGACCCGGGCTCGGCACGCCGCTCAGCTGGCGCTCGCTCACGTCCGGGACGGCGGCCAGTCGCTGCACAGCGCCTTGTTCCGGGGCGGCAGCGGGTCGTCCGGGCTGGAGAAGCAAGCCGAGGCGTTGCGGGTGAAAAACGCCGTCTACTGCGCCGTCATTTTCTGCGAGTTCCTCAAAGAGCTGGCAGCCATGGCTCAAGAGCACGCCGTCACTTTACCTTTCCCTCGGAGCCAGAAGGCCGAGGAGTAGACCGGTAAACACGAACTCCTTTGAAACTTGGCTCTTGGATTTCCTTTTATTTGGATTTTTTTTTATTAATTTGAAGCTGTAAAATGTATTTCTCCCTTCACCAGACTCGCGCACTGAGACTTTCTGTCACTGAAATATTAATCTGCAATGGTGCAGACGGAAAAAACAGGAGGAAAACGGTGGCATTTTTCTACCAAAATTAGCATAAGATACCTACAGGACTGGAATTGCAGTTTTAACAGAGGAGCTTGTGCATATCATGTGTTATATTTACATTCTGTACACAGGAAGTCTCGCTAGACACTTGAGACTTGGGAGCTTGTAAATAAACCCACCACGCCGTGGCATCGTAAAAGGAAGTAGGTGCACATCCTGGTGCTAGCTCATACTCCTTATGTTTTCGTTAGGAAGCGTGCTCTCAGGTAGCACAGACAGCAAGATGGAAACTAAACACCAAATATTTCTTGACAGGAAAATATTGAAAGTATATATATATATATATATATATATATATATATATATATATATATATATATATATATATATATATATATATTAAAAAAAAGTCAATATTTGTACATCAAGCCTGTCTTAGCTTTCATCAAAGCGTTTAATCTTCTGTGTAGGATCTGGTCAGACTTGGTGACGTTATCAGTTCATCGATTTGAAACGACGGCTAAAAACTGGAGAGAGTAAAAGAAGGGGAGCGTTTCGTTATTTTCTTTTCTTTTTTTTCTTTTTTTTTCTGTAAAGGAATTACAGAACGTCCTGGAAAGTGTTGGGTAATTGAATGCCATTTTTATGAATGATTTTTTTTTTTTTTTTTTTTAAATTTAAACCATTTACTTGACATATCAGCAGCATGTGGGTGCAGGCATGTGCCATTGTGTGAGTTTACTTTGATGAATGACTCCTTTCCAAAGGTGACGCCAGTTGTTCTTCAGGCCTTTTCTGACTCATCAGTCCGTCGCCATAAAGCAGCCGGGGACGGAAAAGACGGCGTTGCGTGAAGTCGCTTTTTTTTTTTTTTTTTTTATGTTTTTGTCATTTTAAGAGTTTTAAATTGACTTGCAATTAGTTTAAAAATCCCTTGAGGCATTCACTCTTCTCCATTCTGTTTTTAATAAGTGAGCTACAAATTAAGGTTTCAAGAAGCCATCTATTCAGTTTTTACTTTGTCGCTTTGTGTCTTGATAAAAGGCCAGACTGAACGTTTTTATCTTATTAATTAACTTGCTGCTATATATATATATGTTTTTTTTTTTGTTTTGTTTTTTCAAAACACTAACGTTGATTTAATTGGTGTCATGGCCACTGTTTCTTCAGTTTGTTGGTAGGTACCAGATCTAAACGCCTGTGTGAGGAAGCCAGTTGTGTTCAGCGTTTTTTTTGTTGTTTTTTTTCTTATAGCATTGAAGGTTAAATTAAGTTGCAGTTCAGTGTTAGAAGCTTTTGCCAAGTTTTCCCTTCATTTACTTGACGGTTTATTTTCTGCACTTTCATTAGGAAGTGTTTTATAATAGAGATGCAGCGATCTGAATTTTGAGGCTGATCTCTGGATTTTGTGGAGTTTGTCATCAAATTTGACTAGAAAAAAAAAGACAAAAGTGATTTGAAATATTTTCTCTATCCTTCTAATATAATTGGTTGCATAAGGTGGAGAGGTGACGTCACACTGTGTGACAGAGCAGATGCTGTAAACACGCTTTAAAATGTCTTTTGTCATTTTATTAGCGATTATCACTGTTAGCATGCTAGCAGTGCTAAAGCTGCAGTCTGCAGTGTTTATTTGCATATGTATGTAGATTCTTCGAAGCTCTGAGATTTCTAAAACTCTACATTTGATGTCCATTGATTGCGACTGAAGGCTCAAATGGATAACAGCTTGTTTTAGCCTTGAAGTTTTTTGCTTTAAGTCTTGCTCTCTCTCCTGCAGCCCTAATTAGCTAGCTAGTAGCTTCTTACAACTTTCTACTTCCCAGCTTTACTCTGTACTGAAAATGTCTAGCTTTCTGTTAAAAAAACCCCTTTTCTAATTGGCTGGTGACTTTGTGGGGACCGTCAAGCTGAAAATTCACGTTGCACCTCTATTTTAAATGAACCTCTAGAGAGCAGATTGATGCGATCACTTCTTCTCATCTCTTTACTGTGGAACGCGTTTCTTTGCACATACCAGCTTTTTCTCTTCCTCCAAACTCCGAGCAGCAGAGAGAAACTGCCTGACGTCCTGTAAAGTCTTTTCCTCTGAAATCTAAAGTTTTTTGGTTTTTTTGACATTTTCATCTCTTCTACCTTTAAGAAAGGAAATTAAAAAATAGGCTTTTTCAGCTTGTTAAAGCCATATCTTTTATCACGTTTGTAAATTTGGTACTTCAGTACGCCACTTTTCTACTGACTTTCTAGATCCATTTCATACCAGCCCATAGTTTTTTATTGAAAAGCGTTTCTGCATGCGGTTTAGGCCAGGTTTGATGTAAGTTTAATGGGGTTTTGTGCAGCTTTGATGAGCTTTTGTCACAGACGTCACCCCCCTTTACCTGCAGGAGTGCGTGGAGACGAGCAGGTTCTCCGCTGAATGTTTCTCTTTACATGTAAAGTTGACCCACTGCCATCCATCGCCTCACTCCTCGGTGGCCTCGTCAGGTTCCTCCTTTTAAACTCAAGATTGTGTTTTTGTTGTTTTTTAGCATCTGGATCCGATTTTAGACACGATTGTAAAGAGTCTCGGTGGATTCGCCGTAGTTTCTCGAGCGATTCCAGTCACTGACGTTGTTTCTCTTTGATGCGTTCATGGACTCCAAAGACAGTCGCCTGAAACCCTCAGTAATCTTCCATCCAGACTTTAACCTCGTTTCTTTTTTTTAGAAAGTGCCAACTTTGGTTTTGAGGTTTGACATAAACAATGCATGTGTGATTTTTTTTTTTGTTTTTTTCTTTTGTTATAATTCGAGTTACCTTCATGAACTTTGTATACACTCCCTGAGTCGTTTCCCACTCTTTTTTCATAACTTTTTCATTTAAGCACATTATGAATATAGAAGGAGACGATGAGCGAATTTGTCCTTCCAGGGACTTTAATGTCTTCCCGATCTGTAAACACACCTTGTATTCAGCACAGCGTGTGTCGAATAATAAACCACAAAATAAAGCAAAACAACAACAAATGTGAAGAAACAAGATATGCCGAATTCAATCAAAGCTTCTTTGTCCTTGAAGTTTATTATTCAGCTTCACAATCGTTGCCTCTCATTCGAAGCACTCCCAGCGACCACAATGGTGATTGTGAAAGTGTGTAAAAATAGAAAAGACCAATAAAGGAGATTGTCACTGGCAGCTGGGGGCGGATCTGTCACCAATCAGGCTGAACTTTTCAATCATTGTCTGCAGATTCTTTAATTTATGTTGACTTTTTTTCTCGTCAAATTTAGACATCAAATATTAGGAAAACAAAAAACTTTATGTTCATTTTATTGTCCTTTTTCTCTTTTAACTGACAAAAATAGTGATGATTGGTGAACCTACAGCTGGCAGTCAGCACATTATGCATATTTTATACACTACAGTTGATCTGACATTCATCGAAATTTCATTTACTTTTGGACTTTTGTCAAAATTCAGAACGTTTTGCATCTCTGCAAACACAAAGGTTTGTTTTCTAGCTCCACTTTCCTTTAGACTGCTCTTTTCTCATGGATGAAAAATGTAACTGAAGCACATTTGTTTTATGGTGTGTTGCTATGATACAGTGTTTTGTTTTTTCCCCATAATTGGATGTTTAAGCTTTTTCTGTATCTTTTTTATTTTCTTTCTCCAACTTTTCATCTCCTGTGCAATCTATGCAACACACACTCTGGTATCCCTGCTCTGGAGCTGAATGAAGATGTGGAACAATTTTAACTTGTAAATACTGTTTAAAAAAAAAAAAGAGATCAATCAGATCGGTCGGTCCAAGTGAGATGTGTGGAATAACCGGCAGAATGGAAACGGTTTCCAAATGATGTAACGATGAATGTTGTCGTAAATATTTTTTTATATTTTGAAATTGCTAGGAGGAAAAAAAAAACAGTGGGAAAGCTGTCAGAAGAACACTACAAAGGGAAGTTTTTATTAATTTATAAATTCATTGCTTAGCAATATCACATTTGTCTTGGTGTCATTTTTTTTGTTGCCTTTTGAAATAAATTATTCTTTAATGCAAACATGTATATCTTACATTAATCATCACGGGTTTATTATTATTTTTGCCACGACTTGCAGCAGAATGAGAGTCGGTCAGATCTGACCAATCACAGCAGACCGGACCTGGAGGTTCTGGAAACGGGTTCAGACCGTCCAGCTTCTGCTTTTACAGGAACTCATGAATATGTGGGAGCTATTTAGGACTTTAAATACGTAATGTTAAGCTGAGAGCCTTTGCCACGTTTATGCACAGAATTGGATTTTAACAAAAAAATAAAAATGGACCTCTTGAGGAACTGACCTGCTTTCAAAAACAGAACCACATTTGACCCATTGTACAAGTTCTGTGTCCGATTTACAGCAACCTCCTTTAGACAGAGGTTGTTAAAGGCATTTCGGGAGAAATTCATATCCAGAAATGTTGTTTCTTACTATGAATTTCTTGCAATCTTTTAAAGTGGTTGTAGTTTGAGTCATTCTGACCAATAAAACTCAAAAAGCACAAAAATTGTGACTCTGGGTCACTTTCCCAACCACTAATCCACGCCTCATTTTATCTCAATCTGTTTCCGTTTCATGTCCATGTGCTGAACTACTGTGTCAGATTTAATGTCTTGGTAGTTAAGTTAAATGTTTGATTAATTAAGGTGGTAAATAAACACAACGCTGCCCAAATCTCACAGAAATTACAGTAAATTTCTTTGTACTTTTTCCCAGGATTTTGTAGCAATGGAACAATGTTTCCATTTGTTCTAGTACAGATGGTTTTTTTTTTGTTTATTTCACTTGATTCTTATGAAAAATTATCATATGCTGGCAGATTAAGCCTAAAATAAGTAGGAACCAGTTTCCCTCTCTGGAGTTTTATTCACTGGAGTAATGTAGCTGCATTTCCTCACAGTAGAGTTTGTACATGTTATCAAAAATCGCTTTAAATCATCAGCAGTCGAAGCATGTAGGAAAGTTCTCAAAGTGGATAGAGTTTCAGAATAAAACGACCAAAAGAAGAGCTAACTGTTGTTTTCATATAATACTGTGAAAAATGATCTATTTTAATTGGATCTTTAAATGCTATTAATGGATACCTGCTGCAAATGCCAAACAATAGTTTGTTCCTTTTTTATTTTTATTTTTTACCTGAAATCGATTCAAAATTGATACACATTTTTGTTTCCATTTCCTAAACATAAGATATTTAGAACCTGGTCACAGGCTGATGCCTCTTTTTGTCCTCCACTTTTCCATCTTTTTGTTTCCTTTTCTCGGTCACAAGCCGTATCATGTTTCGTCTTGGTCAGGCTGGGATAATAAAACCCAAGACGCTCAGAAAGCCACTTTAAAATGTTTGTCTTTCTGAAAGGAATGAGGAGAAGTTAAAACTTCTGCACAGAACTATTTTGCTGGTTTTAGCTGCTAGCTTGACTATAAACACTTGCACCACCATACAATGGAAATCATTATGACCAGAGTCACACCTGCATATTCAGTCCATGCAGAAGGAACGATCCCAGACTCATAAAACGTTTACCAAGACTACTTCATAAACACCTCAACGTTGGTGCTAATGTCATTTGCTAATGTTAATCTTTACGCCTATATCTAGGGGAGGGGGAAGGAAAGAGGGAAACTGATCCACTATTTCACGCCAGCGACACCCAGACGGCTGCTTGCATTAGGTTGGCATTAATCACTCTAAATGCGCAGCTAAAACACTTTAGACGGAGTAAATTGCAAAGTACACAGCTCTGATGGCAAGACAAATGTCAAGAGTGAATGCACATGTTTCAGAGTTTGCACACAGAGGAAACTGGAGTCAGTTTGGCAGTATCCTAGCAACAGCCAACAAGAAGTAAAAACTGCACAGAGGGGCAGGGGGGGGGAGGTTGGTGGTAAAAGTGAAGTGGGTGAGCGATGTGGTGAAGAAGAGCGGAGGATCACCGCAGCACCGTGACGACAGGTAAGGCAAAGTGATGGATTCGGGGTTTTGTGTTGTTCTTTTCCCTCTTATTTATATGAACGTAAAAGAAAGCTACTTTTTTATTGTTCAGCTTTTAATGTCTTTATTTAAGGTAAAACTATTACATTAAGTTGCAGAAAATTTATTTTTGAACACAAATAATCTCATTACATTTGACTTTTTTATTTTAATTTTTTTTAGCAGTATTTCTTCTGCTCTTTCAAATGTGGGTCATATGATGTGAAACTGGATCCCTCTGATGCATAATGTAGTTTTGCAATATGATCAGGAACCTGAGGACAAAGGACCAGTACTGACCCAGTGCCTCGGTTGCTCCTGTCAACATAAATAATCTACAAGTTGCCTGTGCCAGTGATGCAGGAAGCTAACAAAATCCATCCTCTCATTGCAGATATTTAATGCACAGTGGTACAAGGCATGGAGTGGGATACATCTGTCAAGAAAACCTAAACTTAACTATTAAAAGCTCAATTTAAATGAGCATCTTTCAAAAATGTTCAGTTGTTAATGTGAAATCCCAGGGACATAGGAGGCCATTTCAGCTGAATAATAAGTTACATTTTGTGAATTCACCTCGTCTTTCTCACACCAACATTAAAAACAAAAACGATGCTTTGCTCAACCCCTTAAAGAAAACTTTTCACTTCTACAAGGCCAATCAGAAGCAAACTATGAAAATAAAAAAGCTAGATGCTCTGCAAAATATTATTTATTCTTATTTCTGTGTTGAAGACACCTTTTGGAATTTTACATAATTGTTTTTAGTATTCTTTACCGTTAATATACTTCTGGAAAGTTGTGTTAAATTTGGGTCTATTGTTACAGTTCACGCTGAAACAGCCTACTTGTAGTCATTCCTCGTACATTATCACGTCGTTGCTTATCTGAATTGTATTTCAAAGCTTTAAGTAATACATAGTCTCGGCTTCTAGGCATTTTATACTGTAGCATCTCCAGCTAAAGCAGGCTGCTGTAGATATCTGTTGGATGATGCGAATGTCACCGCAGTGATCCAACAGGAAAAGTGTCGTTTCCCATCCTAAACACTATAAATTCACATTTTAAAGGGTGTGGACTGTAAAAATGAGGGTGAATTATTTAATGACAGGACATGATGTTCCACAAAATGCACATCATATCTATCATATCTTCACATTTAGACCAACGTTTTTTTACACGCCAATATTCATGGCAAAAGAGGATAAAGTACGACAGCAGCTTAAACATTAAACCATTTGATACCTTTCCTATCTGGTCCTAGGTAAAAAAAAAAATGCTCCTTCACATTTATTATAGAGAAGGACTAACTTTGACTACTGTTTCTCTGCATCACTTTATTCACTTCATGAATAAAATATCAAAGTAAAATCTACTCTCAGCACCGGGGAGCCGAGAAGTGCTGTTGACACTCAGTTCCTCCTACTCTTGCCCTCTCCGGATTCCTTTTCTATCATGGCTTTAAACGCAAGTCGAATTCTCAGTGTTGGATTCAAACCTTTTCTTGCCCGTCGCTTGATCTTTTCCACAGTCACTGCAAAAATAAAAGATTAACAGTCTGTCCCCGTAGCAGGCTTTTGTCAGGTTTTAAAATTATTGAAACATCAAATGTTTAAAACGACACGACAGAGAGTCAACGCTAGATTTTTAAACAAAGAACACGCACGCAAAAAAAGAAATACTTGCAAACAAAAAAAAGTTTTCTTGAGTGTTTTTACCACGGATTGGTCTGTAGCTGGCTTATTGATGCACTTGGAAAGGGAGGCTTGAATACAACAGATGAGCTTAAAGCTATATTGGTTCTGACAGTACAATGTCGGAAACCACCGTGTGCGTCACAGTTTGTTGTGTGTGAGATTGTGTTGCTGCAGACTGAGGAGTGTGTCCATATGTTTCAATGTTATGTCTGATTAAGTTATGCTATTTTGCATTTTGTGCATTTGGGGACTACTGGACTAAAATACTGGCATCATTGTCATCAAATTGTTATATATGTAAATGAATAGTGTGAGATTGATGATTCGCCCAATGAATCGGGCCCAAGTACAATGAAGTACTTGGGTAAAAAGTGTCCCTTTCTTGTTTCATAACCATTTTTCTGTAATATCTTCTGTATTTATAATAATTCTTCACTTTCTTTTTCCAGATATCGAGAACAAAGTCTACCATCCTTTCAAGATGTTTGTGGGAACCCCTCTCGATAGCAGTTCAACCTCTTCCGTCCAAGCCAACGGTCCAGACCCCAACAGTCCAGATTCTGAGTCAGATGGTCCTTCGTCTTCTTCTCCACATCATTCGCTTCCCTGCTGGGCGATCCAGGCTCAGAGCGACCTCGCCCAGGCCAGGGAGGAGTTACGTCAAATACAGCTCCGTCATGCAACTGAGATTGAGACGGTTAAGCGGGGCGTAGAACGGGCGATCCTCGGAGCACGTAGAGAAGAGAAGCGTCTGCTGGAGAGGGTGGAGCAGGACCATCGGGACGCTCAGCAGCGTTTGGAACAGGTTGAGAGGGAGAACATGGCGGCCGCCAGGGTGAGTCAGTCTCTGATGGAGCAAAGGTTTGAGAAGTTGGTTCAGTTTCAACAACAACTCCAGACAGTGGATCACTCTGTTCTATCTGAGAAGGGACCAAACAAAAACCTCTTACTAGAGGAGATTTCAGAGTTCCTGCAGCCCTGGGAAATCTCCGTTTCTCTTACAAAAGTAAACTTCAAACCAAGCTCCCAGCCTAATGCGGTAACTTTCGGAGACATTCGAGTGGAAGAGCAATGTCTGTGTCTGAAAGTTGGAGGCTGTGGGCCAAATGGAAAGCTGTGTGCCTTGCATTCACAGGAGATGCATTGCGAAGACCTAAACCAACAAAGTTCTAAAAGGACAAAAAGCACGCAAGGACAGGGTTGGACATCACCGACAGGCAGGACGGTCAAAAGGATCAACCTCTTAAACCATGGTGACGTAGAGTCAGAGGAAGAGCAGAAGCTTTCTTCTGCAAAGATAAACCACTGGCTGCCAAAATGTGAACAGTTTGATTGGGAAGCATCCCAAGTTGATGAGATGGATAAAAGTTGCTTTGAGCAACAAGGGGAGAATGTATATTTGGCTGTGCCTTCTGCTAAAAATAAGGATATCAAAGCAAAGGACATGGTATGCACGATGAGCAATGCTGGAAAATATTACTCACCCTCTAATCAGAGAAAGATGCTTTCTGTGGCCACTAGTAGAAAAGCATCTCCTTCCCCTGAGCGAAGACAGGAATCTGCCAAGATGAATCGTTGCTTGAGTCTAGACAGCAATGGGGTAGACAAAGGAAAAGGAAGACTTGATTCGAATAACAGACCTTCGCATTATGCTAGTAGTACATCAACATCTCCTAGGATGGCTCCAAGAGATCATTTGGTGAGTCAAAGCTGCCTAGACATTACCTCCAAAGTGAGATCACACTCTCGTCTTAGCCAGTCTTCTGATGAACACTCTCTGGGGACGTTAGGTGACTCTGGACGTGCGCCATCTCCAGCAGACAGCCTTGACTCCACCTATACCTTTATCGTTAGCCCGTCACACGACTTCAGTTTGAACAAAGGCTCTTTGAATCACAGTTTTCACCTGTCCAAGTCGGCAGTGGATTTAACACACAAGACAAGGCCGTTGATTAGTAGCGGCGCAAATAAGCAAGAATTATGCAAAGATAGAAGTGGCAACTTCAGCTCCGTGTTGAGCTCCACCTCGGCCTCACCACCTCTAAGTAGAGGATTTGATAGAGGTCAGATCCTCTCATACCCTAATCATGTTGGTCATGGCATCTTGCCACAGTCTAAGAAATCCACAACTGGGTTAAGACAAGTCCCTGTGGCCAGGTCTTTGTCGATGTCAGTCATAGATGGTTCCTCTCAAGAACACAAGAGAGGCAGAGAGGAAAGAGGAGAACCAGCCCTGGTAGAGTTGGAAGAAGAGGTCGATCCGTTGCTTATGGAGTTCACCGCAAGTGGTGTTCATCTCATGGGGCAGTTTGGGAGGCAAGGTTCAGGCCGGGCTGATCTTACCCTGCCAAGTGGTATCCATGCCACACCACAGGGGCAGCTCTTTATAGTTGACTGCGGAAATGCACGTGTCCAGGTTTGTCTTCTTTCTATCCTCTTAAGCATCAATATACTGTCTGCTTTATAAGATTTAACTGAATGTACATTTTCAAACAGGTGACTGACCCTCAGGGGAATGTTTTTCAGCAAGTAAGTTCCCCAAACATCAGTGGCTCCTCCAGAAGATGCCGTAACTACTTTGACATTGCTGTCAATGCCAAGGGTTTAATCGCCTTAAGCTGTGCTGCGGAAAGAGCTTTGCTTGTGTTCAGCCGACACGGTCGCCTGCTTCAGACCTTTGGAGGATCTACTTTGGGCTCTGCAAAGGATGAGCTAGAAGCTCCCCGAGGGGTGGCTGTAACCAGACTAGATGAATTCTTGGTAGCTGATATCAGAAAAGGCACCCTCATCGCCCTGAAGCTTGACCCTAAAACGGGTTCCAGGCTCGAACGCACAGTGGTGACCGGATTCCACAGGCCTTACTTGGTGGCAACCTGCCTGAGCTCGGGCATGGTAGCAGTGTCCGAAAGGGGCAATGAAACGGGACGAGTGCCTTGCATCAAAGTTCTGGAGCCAAGCTGGAACACAGTGAGAGTTCTTGGTGTATGTGCTGGCATGGGACCAGTCCTCACATGTCCCTGGGGTATATGCATCGATAAAGACGGCAATATCTTAGTCGCAGACTGGGGAGAGCAGCACAGAATTGTGTTGTACCCTGCTCAAGGCGTTGGCTGGCCCATCGTACGCCAGGGATTGAGCAGCCCACGTGGCCTGACCTTATTACCAGATGGGCAACTAGCCGTGTCCGACAGCATGCACCATTGCATTAAGATTTACAGTTATAAAGGGTGACATGGCTAGATTGACCTTATTGACATTTAAGGAAAGGATTTAACAAACTGGTGAGTTAAACACTGGTGTCTAGAACGTGTATTAAAATGATAAAAACAGTCTAGTTCATCTTACCGCTGACATGCTAATAGTGAGTTAGCACTGTAAGGATGATGCATCGTATCAGTTTGACGATGATACAATATAATTTTGAGTTTCCAAGGGTATCCTTTAAAAAAGAAGCAATATAAACCTGTAAAGATTCAAAACAGTGCCTAGCAAGTGTTAAGGTAATCTACCGTTAGTGGTAGTTTGTTTTTATTTTGTTGTTTGCTGTGTAGCTTTTACATTACAGAGGGGTTACATTGTTTGTAGTATTTTATTATGTTATAATAACTTTAAAGAACTGAAATCTGGTGAAGTAGGAAATCAAACTTAATGAATCAACACTTAAATTGGTCAGATATTGACAATATCAAGACTTTGTTCCACTTTTTATTTTGGTTTTCAAATGTTTGAGTGAAAAGGTGTTTGTAGAAAAACTAGTCATTTTTGTATTTAGGATTTGACATCTTGTCACATTTGCTTTCATTTCAGTCTAATATTTTCACTAACATTGTGTGTAATAATTATCCCGCGTTACAGCTGAGACACTATTTTTAAATACAATCTTAAGTGCTAAACAAAGACTGAAGGTACAGGTCAGAGTAAATTTTATAAAGTCTTTGTGCGCTGCTCATCCTTACAAATATGAGAACATTTAAGTTGGGCTTTACAACAGTATAGCAGTTTTTGTATCGCTACAATGCAAAAAAATAAAAAATAAAAAAAATCAACCAATTAACATATTGCCTTACTCTTTGTGCTGGGTTTATATATTACATTTAGTGTATTGTGTGCATTTTGGTTGATTTCTAAGCTCAAAGGAAATGTTTAACTGCTGTTGAGTATTTGATGGCAGCAAAAACAAATAAAAAAGCAAAATGTCTCTTTGGAGTCAGTCATTATTATCATGATTTAAGTCAGCGTGTTAAAAATCACAAACCATTTTACAACACTACAACCCAACGTAGACGTGTGTGCAGTTTGAAAGTCTGTCAACTGGACTCAAACATATTGTGACGTTACAGATATGACCTTTTTATTTTAATGCACTGATATGTTTTTGGTTTTATTTGTGTATTTCCTTTTCTGTCTTTCTACCAATAATGATCATGTTTGGTGTGTTTCTGTTTCCACAGCAAATGTGTTTTGATGCTGCCTGTTTGTGTGCAGAACATTTCTCATTTTCAAGGTTTGTTGACTTTTTAGATTGACACTGTTACATTTTTTGCTTCCTGTAAGCACTAAATCTAAAAATGGATCATTTACTACTGTGACAGGACATTGGTTGCTCTACATATTAAACTCTGCATTCTGCTTCTCTTTCATCTGAACCTTAAGATAATCGTTGATCACAGCATCACTGCACTTAAATAAAAAGCTGGCATCTTCTCCTTTGCTCTCCTCGCTTCAGTTTAGCCTGCAGATTATAATAAAATATTCACTTGTTTCAAGGCCAACCAGTCACTCTCTATGCTTCGTGGAATCAGCCACAGCTTCAATGCTGTTCGTCCCACAACTAATAAAAATTACAACGAAAACATTCTCCTTGCTGTGCTTCTTTTCTGATCAGTTTACTAAATAGTCACTAAAGAGTGTAGTTTATTCCAAATTGATCGCATATTATCATCAAGACCAGCAACAACTGTAAACATAAAAACATGCAAATGAAGTTACAGCGATGTCAAAAAGGTTAAAATATAATTCAGTTTTAAATATGAATATTTCTTCAGAACATCCATGTTTAAAAGCTGTTTTTTTTTCATCTGAACATTTTTGTGGTCGTTACTGAACAGTTCGTTGACTCTAAACAGGAATCAAACCCAAGTCGGCCACAAGTGGATTTTTACACAAAGATAAATGAATAAAACTTTCTCAAGAACTGATCGAACTCCCACTCGCTTGCATCTGTTGCCAAGTGATGCGTAACATAAGGACTTTATTTGCATTTTAAGTAAATTTTCTCCACATCTGAGATCCTTGTAGCACACAGCCACCTCTCCACACATCAAACAACTCCTCACTCCCCGCCAGCTGTTCATCGGTTGTTAAGTAGTCTCTTGTCACAGCCTGTGAATGCTTGTCACTGCCAAGCTGCTCTTAACAGTCTATGCTGCAGAAATATTTTGAACAGGAGCGATATTATTTGTAGCTGAATCTGTTTTTGTTTTTTTGTTTTTTTTTACAAAGAGAGCCTATCTGACAACACGAAGTGGGCTAAATGATAAAAAAAAAGCAGCACGTTGTGTCCCGATCTAAAGAAATTCAACAACAGATGGAGAAACAAAGTCATTGACGTCTATAAATATAAATATACAAATATTCTGATACACTATGACAGTTTCTCCATGTAGCAGGGCAAAGCTGCAGCTCCCGCTTCCTCAACAAAACAAAGCAGTTTGTTTAAAAAAGTAAAACTGATCCTTGTCTTCCCAAACACTTGCAAAGGTGTTAGAGGGGGGAATGGAAATGACGCATCATGGTGGAAAGCGCGTACCTGTCCAAACCTTTCCTGAAACAAGGTGCACTCGGGAGAGAAATGATCAGATGATTTGTCAAGCTGCTGATCTGCTGCCTCAGACGATGCTGTGCTGGTGACGGCTGTCGCCAACCGGGCAGAAGGTCGACGCTTTAATTGTGATGAGTTCATATGTTCACGCTGCACGAGTGGGCTTTTCCTCAAGATGCTTCTTCACCACTTTGGACCACAAATGCGTACATTTACATTCACGTTAATGCTAATCTACACGGGCGATAGAAGTGAGTGTTTTGTCTCTATAACAGGCTGAAGAGCTGGAAATGTAGTTTTTGTGAAGGAAGATTGTTTTGGTAATCTTGTTCTTCAATGATGCTGATATGTGCAGAGATTCTATACGTAATAATAATAATAATAATAATAAAGAAGATTATGTTAGAGTGTGTCATCTTGAACCCATTTAGTTGATTAAATTATTTCATTTCTGTAAAACAATCTAAAAATCTGTTACAGTTTAGCTAATGTTATCAAGTAAATACATTTTAAGAATTAGTAGAAATTTTGCTAATTTGTATTTTATTGGAGTTGCATCATTTTCACTGATAAATATTGATCTACCCAGACAAAATCAATACAAATTGTCACATTTTTTTCAATTTTTCAATTCTAACAGTTCATTATATTTGTGCAAAATTGCCTTTTAGCAGAAAAAGTTAGCTGTGCCAGGATAGGTAGGAGAGTAATGGTATCATTTTAATTTCTTTTGGCCTGCCATAGCAAGGTAGCGCATTAGCCTTTTCCCTTAAATTAGCATGTTAGCTTTTTATTTCTTAACTATGTTTAGCATACTGAATGGAGCAAGTCAAAGTAAGACAACATGCTAGTTATACCCCACGTGCCTCTGACAACGTTTAGGACAGCATTAGCATTTCGGCTAATTTTAGCTCATACACTAATGCAGTGGTCCCCAAACTTTTTCCTGTGAGGGCCACATAACTTTTCCCTCCTGTGTCTGGTGGGGGGGCGGAAATTGTTGAGGGGGGGGGGGGGGGCGTTTCTCGATTGATTTTTTACCCAGAAAGCACTTGGGCAAAACCCATGAGTGAAACGGTTACTGGGACTGACTAGAATATATTCCATTGAGGGAATGTAACTATAATATATTAGTTTTTCATATGTTAACATAAAGGCTCATTTTGAAGTATAAGTTGCTACTTACAGGCATTGCTTCGAACAGACACGTGTGATCATCTGCTCTACCGCTAGCAAACAACCGTACTGATTAAATAACATAAAAGTCAAGCAGTTCCCTAAAAGTCCAACAGATGGCAGCAATGCACCATGCAAAACAAAACACCCACAGTTTACAGGACACACTTCCTGCTAAAGAGCCCCCTGGTGGTTGAAGAAAAATCCACATATAAACCGGAAAATACAATAAATGAAAAAAAAATCTGAACGCTTTCTAGTATTGTTCACGGGGCCGGACCAAATGTGGAGGCGGGCCGTAGTTTGGGGACCCCTGCACTCATGTTTGGATACTGAATGGAGTAAGTCCATGCTAGTCAACACACCTGTAATTCTCCACATGCTATTGTCTACATTGTTGTTTACCTTAGCATTGATGCTAATTTTTAGCATCAGAACTCTGGTGGTACACTTTGGCCCCGTTTGAATTTTTTCAGAAATAGAAGAATAGAATGGAATTGATTCAAATAGTGTAAATACAAACCAGTATTTAACCTGAATTGCTAACTTACATCTTCAGCTGATTAGATTCTACCACAAACACTTTTCCCACTAAAGGTATTTCTTATGCAGTATAAGCAGGAAGGGAAAATGCATCCAGCCACATTCGGCTTGAAGCAGAAATGCAGGTCAAGGTGTAGATTTGTGTCTTACTGCCTTTGCCACTAGATGTTACTAAAGAGGCATATATCTAATTTTTTATCTCCAGAAGTGAAGTCAGGGCTATTTTGTGCAGATTGAAATGTCCTGTCTGTTCTGTTTGAGCCGCATCTCTTGTCTCTGAAGAATGAGCCTTCCTGCCTCCCCTCCTCCTTCTCTGCAGCTCCATCTACTTCCCCTCAGCTGCTTCCTAGCTGATGATCTATCCGGTTTTTCCATTGTTCCCAGTTCACCAGCCTTCCTAATTCCAGCCCCTGTTGTCCGTCCTGTCATCGAGCTTTCCTGTTCCTCGCTCTGCTCGCTCATTTTTCTTACCTAATTCTGCAGTCGGCTTGTTATATTTTATTTACAGCGCAGAGGTGTTGGCCCATGACTCACCACAGCTGCAGACACACAGGGATCAAAGTGGAAAATCATGATACCCAGGAAAAGGATGCAACAACTTTACCTGAGTTTAGCGTCTAAACTGCAATCCAATCATGCACTGACTTGTATTCGTACCTCTGGGACTGAATGCAAACTTCTTTATATTTGATTTAATGCGAAATACCAACAAAAAGAGGAAAGAGGAAACAGCAAATATGTGGAAGAAGGTGCTCTGGTCTGGCAGGACTCAAAATAAACTCTCTGGCCCACATGCAAAATGCTGTCTGGCAAAAACAAACAAACAAACAACAACAACAACAAAAAAAAACAACTAACATAGCAGTTCACCTTAAATACAGTAACCCTACTGTGATATTTATGCTGAGGGAAGGCTTTTCTTCAGTAGGGACAACTGGTCAGAGTCAATGGGAAGATAGCTGGAGCTATACAGGGCAACGGTGCTAAAAACAAAAAAAAAGAAAGAAAAAGTTATAGACCTGGCCGGAGGTTCACCTTCCTGCAGGAAAACAAACCAAAACAAACAGACAATAGAACAGTTTAGATCAAAAAGACGTCCTGTGATGAAATGGCCCAGTCAAAGTCCCGTGCTAAATCCAATTGAGAACCTGCACCCAAATAAAAAAAAAAGTTGTTTTTTGGCTAAAATGATTTTTTTTTTTTTTTTTTTTTTTTTTTTCCAAAAAATTTTTTTGAAAAAAAAAAACACAAGAAAAGATGAACAGGTGCAAAAATATTCTCATTCCATGTGAGGCAGGAATGTGTGAGGTACTTTGAGGTCTGTTCTCCAAATATCCTGGTGTACTTCAAAGGTGACACCGCCAGAAACTGGCTTAACTAAAGCACACAAACACACAAGCTGAGTAGCAAGGTGTGTGTCTGAGTTAATCTCTGCAAGCAACACTCGACCCTTTAAACAGGCGACACCGAACCACTTCACAAGCGCGCGGTACAAAGTCAGAAGACCTTTTCTGAGGTCAAGAATCGGCTGTGCACCTTTTAAGAGAACAGCAAACAGATTCTGAGAAGACAAAAAGGTGCTGAGGAAAAATGAATATTACTCAAATATCCTCTGTCAAACAAACCATTTCAGCCATGACAACCGCTCACCATGAGTCATGAGACCAAATCACACGTTGGTCGATTATCTTATAGATGACAATGACCCAGAGAAAAACCATCTGGAAGAGGATCGATGTGGCGACTTCAAAATGTTTTAATTCACAATGTACTTACAATTGTACCACAATGTACCTACAACTTCCAACCCTGTAATTACAGGGGCACAAAATATTAAAAAGATTATTCTTGACGACGATGATGGCCTACAGTTAATGCTTCCAGTTTCTCTGATAATATCATTTCTTAAGACCAATAAAAACGGATGTGTAACATAAATGTCAACCTGCTGAAACTGTGCCGTTTATGTACTTTATACTTTGTTGGTGCTTCTTTTGCGTGAATCACTGTATCGTTGCGCAGCAACCTGAAGATGATGATCCTGCGGCTATGAGGAGATGCTACGGAAGCCCAGATGGGTTTAAAGCGAGTCGTCAGCTTGTCTAAGTTGTCGGGTCTGGTGTGTTTCATCTTCCTCTTGTCAACAGGTCACACATCCTCCAAGGCATTTAGGTCAAGCCAGTCTGATGACCAGTTAAGCACAGTGCGTTCACTCAGTGAATCAGCTTTCAGTATCTCTGGAACTTTCTACTCAGTGGAGTCATTTAGAGCCTTGCCTTTCAGATAAAATGCTAATTTTAGCTTCTTCTGAAAAGAGTTTTCTGAGCGACACCCTCCACTGACCAGGTTCCTGAGTGACGTCGTCTCTGGTTTAACGCAAAGAATCCCAAACAGCGCAGCCCATTTCCTGGATATGCTTGTGTGAGTCTGCTTTTTAAAACTCTGATTCCAGTTGTGGCCATTAATGTGAATCCCCCTCAAACTCTGGGAATTTGGTGTTTCTTTGGAATTCGTTCGAGAATAGGCGTCCCAGACACAGAGCGTCATGTTCTTCATCTAGACCGGTTCCTGATTCAACACCCCACACATCCTGGACAAGATTTGTTCAAACTTCTACATATGTATATTTCTTTAAAAAGGCAAGAAAAAAAAAGCATGACCTTCAAAGTTTAAATATGTAAATTTAAATATGTGTATGCTGTGCTGTGTGGCTGAAATGAAATTATTTGCGCTGCTGTTATTAACCTTCCCTTTTATTATATCCTTAAGATAATGAGTATCCGTGAATTTTTCAGTCAGGTTTCCCGAGGCAAAAATCACACCGAAAGTAAAGATACACCTCTCCGAGTTATGGCGGCCATTGTCTGACGTCAATCTATACTCAGATTTCTCTTGTGCTTATTTTATGCCACTAATTTCTGTTAAACTAATTTTTATTGATATGCTTAGATATATGACTTTATAACCAGCCAGGAACGACCTTAGTGGCTTACTTTCACTGGGGAGGGAGCCGATGACATAAACAGCAAACTTTTGCATGAATTTGTCAATCATAATATTTTTATATTTAAAAAAATGTACGTTTCATGGGGCTGATCAGTTATTCTCATTTTCAGAGAAAATGAATTTAGAGTTTTCATTAGCAGTCAGAGCTCATAATGACTGTAAATAAAAGTTGTTAACGGCAAACCTGCAATAACTCAGTTGAGGTAATTCATACATGAAGCCAAACTTTTATACATTAAGGCAAAACCTAAAACGACAAAGAGCTAGCAAAGAAGTTCAGAAATGTAATTCGGTCAAACCGTCACAGCTATTCCTCAAATAATGAGTGAAAACCACCAGTGATGGTGTGTAAAGCCCTCCTCTCTGGTATCAAAACCATCCCGGATGGTCGCCATCTGCCCCCTACCAGACTTTCATCTCTGCGGGATGCTCTTACTTCAGAAGATGCCTTTGACATTTCGTTTGAGCGCAGAACAGTTATAGCTCACACAAAGCGAGCCAGAAATAACCACATCAGGCACACGTGAGATTTCGAAGCATTGGTTGCAATTTTAATTGTTGAGTGTAATTAATATTAACAGAGTTAAAAAAATATCAAAACAAACAAAAGATCCTTTGCGAGTCTCCCAACGATCCTCCCACATTCACACCAAATTTTACTGATTCAGATTTAACTTTGCTCACAGACAAACTGCGGGCAGGTCAGGTCGTCGTCTGTGGATTTCTGAATCAGCAGCCCACACAGCAGCAGGCTTCAGCAGGTACAAATTCACTGTTTTGTTTTGTTTTATTTTTGTAATATGTGTAGAAGTAGCGAAGGATGTAGTCTTAGTTCTTTAAAAAATATTAGCCGATTCAAAGGAAAATCAAAACCAAAGCCTTTCTGTTTTTGAAAAAACAAAGGTTAATTTTTCATTTGAAAAATGATGGGAAGAGTTCTCAGCTCTGAAGGAGAAAATAAATTAAACTACACTAAAATTGAAAAATTTGTTCCATTGAGAAAATGTTGAGTTATGACAGTTCAGGGTGGAGGGGAAAGAACTTACTCCACAACAAAAAAACGGCAAAGAATATGCAAAAAATGTTTCGTTTTTTTAATCAAAAACCTAGATTTTTCTCAAGGTTTTGTGAAAAAAGTGACAAAAGATCTCATACACCTGTATCTGAATGCAATGAGTTCAGATGTCTTCTTTGAACCATAAAAAAGAAACATATGTTCATCTATCATTCTAACTGTTGATCACGTGCTTGAATAAAAGAAATCCTAAAGGTTTATGAAGAAAGACCAAAGACTGAGTAACCTTCTTCACTCCCTGCTCACAGGGGTGTCTCTCTTTTATATAAGGCTGCACTGGTGGGGCCCTCAAACTGTAGCTTGATGGCCTGTTTGAGATTAAGGTGCGGGTCTGTCGTGACCATAACATCATCTGTCAAGGCACTGCTAGGTGGGGTTGGGGAGAAACTGTAACAAACAGGTGCTAAAATGTTCTGGGGCAGGGCATCCCAAGCTTCCACTTGGGATGGGCTCTGTAGTCTGTATGGGTAGTCCAACGAAGGAATCTCTCTGTTTTTTGCACTGAGAGGGCTGTCTTTGCTTGGCATTATACCAAGAGAAGCCATGACTGAGTTCCATCTACCACCTGCAGCTCTTTCTGCTTTAATCAAGTTTGAGCTTTGTTTGTTCTTCTTGTCAAGGTACTCAAGCCCAGAAGACAAACCTTTCTGAGGGGGTTCACAGTTGTGTACCATAGCCGTAACGGTGCAAACAGTAGGCGGGGGGAGGCATTTTGTAAGCCTCTGGCTACTTCCATGGAGACTTCCCATGCCCGAGCCCCCCGGCGGAGGGAGGGTGGAGTGTCGGCTCCGGCTGCGCGGCAGTGAATGCTGTTGGATCTGCTGGATAAAACTGATGCTGTCGGCTGGCACTGTCTGCACTGTAGCAAGTGAGTGGCATGTAGACGAGGTCTGGGAGCTTTGCATGGAGTGGAATCGTTCTCCAGTGGACCCGGGAGAGGACACTGACGAGGAGGAGGTAGTAGCCGTCACTTCGACTCCGTTACCCTCCAACGTTCCCGACGAGAGGATCTTGTTTGGTTTTGAAGGAGATACAGTACTAGAATTAGGCAACAGGCCCAGGTATGGCTTAGCTCCATAGCTCTCCAAGAGCCGTACGATTGTAACATGCCCATGTTTTCCAGCCACTTTGGCTGGACTACGACCATATTTATCTATGTGATTGGGATTTGCACCTTTTCCCAGAAGCATTTTCACAATGTTAACATGTCCTTCTTGAGCTGCGATGCTCAGAGCCGTTGCCCCTTGATGGCAAGCAAGGTCTATATGTACACTGTTTGCTTCCATGAGACGATGTCCTACTTTTCCATTTCCTGTCCAGGCCACAGAATGCATTGGTGGTCTCCCTTCAGCGTCTTGTGCATTGGGGTTTGCCCCGTGTTTTAAAAGTAAGTCTACAATCTCCACACTGCCCTGCCAGGAAGCCACATGAAGAGCTGTGCGGCCCTCGGAGTCTCTGGATTCAAGTGGCACGCCTCCTTTTTCTATGACAAGAGTGGCCATATCAAGATGACCTTCGAGCACCAGGAGGTAGAGCAGAGGCCGACCTTCTGCATCGCGCACATCGGTATCAGCCCCTCTCTTCATAAGCAGTTCTGCAACCTCAGTATGGCCCTCCAGAAATGCAGCACTCAATGCAGAGTGTCCGTCATACGCCCTGTGATCAATCAGAGAACGTTTGTCAAGTAGTAGCTTGACAGCACTCAGGTGGCCTTCTTGGGCTGCCAGTATAAGAGGGGTGCGTCCTTCTATGTCCATCTCTCCTATTCGTGCCATGCTCCCTTGATCTGTCAAAGCAGCACATACGGCACGATGGCCTTCACAGGCAGCAGCATGCAGTGGGGTCCAGCCAAGGTCATCCTTATGATTCTCATCCAACCCTCGGTCCAGTAAGGCACGGACTACTTCCAAGCTGCCCCTTGCTGCTGCCAGGCACAGCGCCGTCCTGCCTTCACAGTCGATGGCATCCACATCTGCACCCCAGAAGAGCAGCTTGGACACTGTGTTCATGTGACCCATCGCTGCAGCTGCCAACAGCGGTGTGACAGCAGCTGCGGCAGAAATGCTTCCATCAGGGCCAGCCGATTCATCTACATCTGCACCAGCTTCCAACAAAAGCTCAACCACATCTTCGTGGCCTTCATAGGCCGCAAGAAGCAGTGGCGTCATTCCATCGTTGTCTCTGTGGCCTGGATCTGCCCCATGTTCAAGTAATAGACTTGCTACCTCTCCATAACCTTTGATCGCTGCAGCAGTCGGGACGCAAAGAGCAGCAACTGACAGGGCAGTACGTCCATCTCCATCAGCTAGGTTGACTTCTGCATTGTGGTTCAGCAATATTTCGACGGTTTCGGGATGGCCCATGTAGGCAGCTGCAATAAGGGGTGTACGGCCATTGCTGTCAGCTTTATTAATTTGTGCACCATAGTCCAGCAGGGTGAGGACAATTTCCTCGTGACCACCCCATGCAGCTGCTCTGAGGGCAGTACGTCCCTCACTGTCGCATCCATTTACATCTGCCCCTGCATCCAGAAGTAACCGGACAGCCTCACAGTGTCCTCCCCAAGCTGCAGAGCGCAATGCCGTCCAGCCTTCATTGTCAATGTGCTCCATCATTGCCACTGCAGTCTCCGTGCTCTGGCTTTTCATCCATTCTAGTAAGATAGACAGAAATTTGACATGACCCTGTCTGGAAGCCAAAGTCAAAGGAGTTTGACCGTGATGATCACTTATGAGTGGATCAGACTCATGTGCTAGAAGAAATTTAGCTACGTTTGCAGAACCCTCAATAGCCGCTTTCGCAAGCAAGGTCTGTCCAGAAGATTCAAGCTGGTTTACAGAGTGCCCACTATCTAGCAGTTTCTTTACTGACACCTCCATCTCCATTGTGTCTAATGGATCTCCTTGCTCAACTGGGAAGCGCGTGCAGACACTGGCCTCCTTGTCGGAAATACGGGCTGGCGAAAGAAGTCCGCTTTTCATTAACAGCTGAGGGACTTCCTGACTGACCAGTGGAGGAAGTTGAGCAAAGGATGTGGAGAGGGTTTCATTGCAGCTGGCAGTGAGAGGAGGCAGGCCTGTCCACAGCATCCAGAGTGCTAATAATGAGGGGTTTTCTTTATGGTGACCCGAGCAAACTAAGTGTGTGGCTAACTGACATGCACCCTCGGGGTCTAGATGGGGTCCTTGTAGAGTCAGAGACATGGCAAGCATGCTATGGCCTTCAGTCTGGTTACAGAGGTACTTCTGCGTGCAGTATTTAACATCAGTCAGCCACTCTGTAAAGCTGGCATGAAAAAGTAGCTTGGTCCCCTCAGGGCCATCGATCAAGAGGGGAGACAGTGTATGAAGCTTGTTTTGGAAGTCCTGGACGTTGAGTGTGGTGTCCTGAGTCCAGGCTGCTGTAAATAGTTGCTGAGTTGTGAGTGGACTTGGAGCAGCCAAGAGCACATTGAGGAGAGGTCTGACATAGACAAAGAGGGCCCGAGGGAAGAGTCTCTGGCAGAGCCAAAGGTAGAGTCCATTGAGAGTCCCAGGGATGTCTCGAATTTCTCGAAGTCCCACGAGCCCAGCTGCCACGCCATCCAACACTCGCTCGAGAAAGAGGAAGCAGCCCCCACTCTTTATGTGCAGGAGATTGAGCATGTCTGCAGTGTCAGGGGTGAGCTGACGCCGCAGCGCTGCCTCCTCATCCAGACGACAGAGGATGTACTGCTGAACGTCACGGACCGTTGGCGGCTTCCGTAGATCATCCAGGCAGAGTCTCCGGAAGCCTAAACAAAGAAATTTTTTCTTTATAACTTTGCTTATTGCTTTATTGAGCTTAACCCTTTCATGCATTAATTATAATCCTTTATGTCAGGATTTTTTTTTCTTTGTTGATTTTCTAAAGGCATTAAAAAAGGTGGAAAAACAAATTTGGAAAAAAAAAACAAAAACAGATCAAAAATGTTTTTCTAGGTGATCAGTTGCATTTTTCTCCAAATACAAAGTTATTTTGAAAATACATCTCTAGTATTAGTCTTAGAAGTTACTTGATGCCACAATATTTTTTTTTTACCTGCAAGAGTCGTCTACAGTAGTAGTAGGGTCTGGATATTCCTGAGTTGCTTTTTTGTTCGTCTCCCATATTGGATTTAACAAATATTTTTCTGCACTTACAGCGGATGGCCAGTAGTTTATAGTGCATTGTATGATTTACTAGAGTCCACTTCAGTGGTCTGTGTACATTTAAACATAAAAAATTCACAAGAAACACAAGAAAATGGCTTTTAGATAGCTGTCCACTGTAGTGACCACTATGCATGAAAGGGTTAATTTCATAATGATGATAAATATACAAACATATACGCAGATAATCATAAATTTTTGCTTGATTGTAATTGTTGACATGTAACACAACAAATTTAAAAGGCAATTATTTTTCACAAATGGGCCAGATTGGTTGTATTTACTCATGTTCCTAAAGGCCATCTAAAAATGTGTTTAAAGATGATCAGAAACTGTTAAATTTGATAAAAAGCAAAACTGCCTAAACCTGTGGGGGTAAAAACTTTCTCACGTCTTTACACGTGGTGGCAGGGTTAATCAGGCCTCGCAATTTTCCAACATAGGGTCCAGTGACAGAGACGAACACAGAAATTCACATACTCGAGAACATCTTGCACACATCTTTGTTTTGGCGGCGGATGGAGCAGACCAACAGCAACCAGCTGGGCAGGAGATGCTGATTGTTGGCCAAGAGTTGTGCAATCGAGCCGCTCTTCCCAACTCTTTGGCCTGGTGCACACTGAGCATCCAGAGCATCTACCACTATCATCAGGGTCTGGGCAGGTGGAGGGAGGTCCAGCAGCGGTTCCAAAACTGCCCTAAAGACATAATGTATGGGAACAAGAAACACAAAAAAAAGAAAGAAAGAAAAGATGAATGATTTAAAACAGCTATGTAAAAACAGCAGGAACTGTGGGTGGCGGAGAGAGTGAAAGGAACAGAAGAAATGTGAGGACGATTTTTTTCTCACACACGCACGCTGGAGATTTGAACTCTAAATAGAAGCAAAATATGAAGCAGCGCAAATCAATATAAGAACAGCTACCTTGCCATGACTTGAGGCGATTTTCATTTAAGGGTGGCAAGTGTTTACCGACGTTTCTTTGCTTTCTATTTTATACATTTCACAGCATCTAAGAATAGCTGAGGCTTTTAAAACCACGGACAGAAAACGAAAAACTAAACTCGATAACTTGTTAGCAGTTATTTCCATTAAAACAACAGCTCCACAACAACGGCCGACAATGTTGAACACTTATCTAAGACAACAATTTGTATAAAGGAACCTCCTTTATGCTGTGCAATAATAAGCAGCAGGGACACCGTACAGAGCTGTAAAACAATCTGAAACCTGGCAAAAACCAAACGAGCATTGGCCTTTAAGGAGCGCAGTCAACACCCACACCCTGCCTGGAGCCAGAGGTGACTCAGGTTTGTGGAACTTCGGGGTTTTTTTTCCTCCCTCTGCTCTGGGCACGCTCACACACATGCAGATCAATACATGGGCACGTTAAAAACAGGCGCCCACAGAACAGCTTCAGTCATTAACGGCTCCTCCTCTGCATGGATTTCTCAATCCATAAAACGGAATCATTTTCCGTGTTGTGGAGCTTTGGTTCATTTGCACATTTCCCTCACTTCAAAATGACACAGAGAGTTTTTTTCTTTTTTCTTCATTTTTTTGCACTTTAGAAACAAAGGAGATTTTGTCGGGCATGGCTATAAATATCACCACGCAAAATTGCTATGTGAATTCGGTGCACATGGAGTGTGGAGGAGAAAACTGCTCATTCAGATGGATCAGATGGATCCCGAGGCTAAACAGATGTAATTATTTAGGATAAAATAATAATAGTTGCCATGTATGTGTATACATTAGGCATGTTATATTCAAGCTGTCTCAACAAAGCAGAGAGCTGCCAGATATGTGTTTCCTCCTCCTCTGGAGAAAGAGACAAACGGTAGTTACTGGATTAACGACCTGACGCGTAATAGCCGATGATGTCTATTTCAAGACCTTCACCCACAGATTTATATTTGAAAAAAAAAAAAAATGCCACATTTATGTTTCAATAAAGCAGATACATTAATCTCTTGTGTTTCTTTTCGATTGTTGCAAACACGGCTTCAAAGCCAGTGAGTAACCGGTTAGAAAAATGAACAGAGTCTGGGAGGAGACAATCGGTAATGAAGCGAGGACACGAGCTCGGTTTAGACAGGTCACAAAGAGGCTAAGCTCAGGCGTTTATTTTACCACAAATACAGGGTGTGTGCTTGTGTCTGTGCGCTGTGATTATTGTTAATGTCTGTGTTTATGAAGGCCCATGAAGGTCCACTGGTTATCAAGGTGATCTTATGTATTTATTGTAAGAGGTCATCAACCCAAGAGAGAATAAGTAACTAACAGTTGACAGATTGTTTTTTTTTTTTGTTTGTTTGTTTGTTTCTCAGTTTCTCAGGATGACCTCAAGCCTAACCCTGAGATGTGTTCATTTCAACATCAAATGAATGAGTCACTGTTGACTTTCACTTAACAGATCAACAGGTTTCTGATGGCTTTGGCATCTGATCCAAACTTGCTTCTCCAAGAAAAACTTTCAGTAACGTTGCTTGGTTAAAGATGCACCAGTCGCAATTTTGTGTCCGGATCTCAAAACTGATTATTCCACAGTTTTGACCAGATTCCCATGTCTCTTTAAGAAATCTGTAATAAACGTATGGTTATCTTTGTCTAATTTAAGTTGTAAAAAAAAAAAAAAACCTTGACAACCAAGTTCCCTGCAGCTAAGATGACGGCCTCATTTTTTTTTTATTTGCCCGGCAACAGCCATGTATGTTAGCCTGAAAAAATTCAAGTTTATTTTTGATTCCCAAATCCTGTATGTGAGGTGTTTCTTTATTTTTAGATCTGCAGCAAAATGTCTGATGCAGCCATAAACATATGAAAAGTGGAAGTAGCCACCTACGTTTGTTGATATTTTTTTTTTTAGTTGAGGCGTTGAATGTTTTGACAATTATTCCCTCTGGTTTGCTGGATGCCGTGCAGCTGGAAGGACTTTCTGCTCTTTGCTTTTTACTTTTCGACAGTCATTATGAAGCGTAACCAGGGCAACAAGAGGAGTTGAAGAGAAGGCTTCGTGGATGCAGAGCAGGAACAAAGTTCAAACCGTCTCTCCTGCTGACCGTAATGGTCGAGGATCAACTCCAACTCTAACCGTAGAAACGGCCAGGCAGAGATTCAAAGAGGTGCAGCAAAAGCAAATGAGGTGGATTAGCGGCGTTTGCTAACAGCTGGCGGTATCGTCCAGAACATGTTACTAAGGAATATTATCTCTGCTGCCCAGAAACTGAGCTGTGAGGATGTCGACAGTCTTCAGTCAGAGGCCTCTTTAGATTTGTTGCAATACTGACTGCTACCGGATATCCCTCCTGCCAACAGCACCATCTACTATTTGAAGATTTTTAGGTGACGTATGGAACGGCAACATTTAATTTCTCCTTTTTCTACGTAAATCAGAATTGACTTTTTTTTACTCTAATGGACTCAAAAAGTTAGAAGAAAACCATCCTTTGTAACACGGTAGGCATGTGTTTCAAATACATTAGTGGTACATCATTTACTGCTGATCAGATAAAATTTCTACAGTCATCCTAAAATAGGGCTACAGTTTGGCTTCAAGCAGCTCATCGAACGTTGCTTATCAGCGCTCGTGGGACTAATTTCTTTGATTGACGACGGAGGCATTTCAACAGGCAGTCTTGACGTTTGACTCATCTGTGTATATTTAACAGTCCTGACGTTTTATCATTGGCCATATCCTGCAATTAAAAGTAGATTTTTAAACCCGTCAACCCACATCTAAGTTCCGACGAGCTTATCAAGCCGCCGTGCTCTTTAGTCATCTGAATAAAGCAGCACTCCCCGACTGAGCACACACACACACACACACACTCAAGTAGGAAGTACAATTAACCTTTTATGGCTGCTAATGTTTTTCCACCTCATTCAGGTTAGATGGTGCTGGACGTACATCTGCAGGTGACCTTTGAAGCTGCGATTTAATGGGCCTTGTTGAAGGGGCGCGTGTCACTGTGACACCTGCAGTAATTAGAGGGCAGAGTTGGTGACAAATACACTTGCGAAGGCAGGATGTAAATCACTTCATGCGCGTTCGGACCCCTAATAAACCGCATTCCTGAGCTCTCGCCATTGTTTCTTTTTAAGCTATAATTTGGATGAGATCAAAACGGGTGACTGGGCTGGAACCGCGGGCGAGACCACCAACATGAGAAAATGACTGTTATTCGTAAATTGCTGCTGAACGCCACCTACTTCTCGGATGGATTTTAAACATTTCTGAGCTCACCTGGAACCATTTTCATTTCAGGTTTTTTCCCCCGGAAGGCATGAACTGTTAACTGAAGTACATGAATTAAGGAGGTTTTTTTTTTCTTACGAGATCAGCGCTGCTGTAATTTCAAATGGAAAAGCAAAGTGGGTCAGAGATTGAATTGCATATCAGGTTTTAGCATTCATCACATTGCTTCTTTGTGAATTTACAAATCTAAAAGTGACAGAGATGCAAAATAAACTTAAATACAGTAGAGATACTCTGCAGGTGAAAAAATGACAATTGTCATAGGTGAAATATGTAATTTTTGAAGTAATTATGAATTATGAACAATGTTTAGGTAAATAGAAAAACGCATAACACATGACACTGTGCTGGACGCAACAGATTGAGAATGAAAGCATTTTGGGGTCTTAGAACGGCACAGTCAAAGCCCAAACCTATCTCCAGAGATTAGACAATTTTTTCAATTACTTTTTGAAAGCCCTAATTCTTTTTTTTTTTTTCCAAAGCTCAGAGGAAGCAGAAGGGCAGGAAACATTAAAAGCATCCTTTGCTGTTTAATGACTGAACTACCTGTTAGTCTATGGGGCTTAAATAATATGTTGATGCCTTTAAGTGGGGGTTTGAAACGGTCGACAGTAACAGCCGACATCCTGCTGCGTCTGGTGGAGCTGATTTTGTTTCAACACCGAGACGAACTCATTGAACTTGAGGTTTGCGCAGTTTATCGTGGCGGGAGCGGCACCGCAGCAAGCCGCGTTTACGACCAGCTGGGTTCAGAGAGCCGCCCCGCTGCTTTAAGACGCATGTTGCATGTACGTTGCATTTTGCTACCTTGCTCACACAAACACACACACACACATTTCATCCGTTTATTGATGGCTGTCCTCAAAAACAGTGCAGGTTTTTTTCTCTCTCTGTGGGCTCCAAACGGAAAGCAGCGGCTGGCTGCGAGCCAGTCCGTAGGGAATGTGGAATCCAGTTCGGCACTTCACACCAGAGGAGAGCAAACACCAGCAGGAGCTTGAAAGGCCTCGGACTCGGTGCAGAACAAACACACCGGGCAGAGGGCTGAAAAGTCCCGCAGAGGAGGGTGACCTCGCTGACTGGTGCCGAGACGGTCACTGGGGCAGGGGAGGCATTTTTCACCTCTTTGTTCTGCTTTTTTCCTGCTTTCCCCCCCTTCTGTCTCCTCTCTCTGGAAGGATGTTGTGTCGTAAATAAAACTGTAGTATTCATTCACGCTGGAGGGGCCATTGTGGCGCTCCGTGAATGGGCCGCATTATGGGCCGTGAATGAAATAAATATAAGTCGAGGAAAGAATGGCCATGGCGCTGTTTTTTTCCCCCCTGCGACTGTCCTGCTTCGCCCGCGGTCAAAAGATTTCACATTTACATGCAGAGAGGCCACCGGCAGCTACAACACTGAGATTCAGCTCGTTTTCTAAACACAAAGGATGCTTTTTAGCTACAGTGCGAGCGGAAGCTGCTGTTGTGTTTGTTACACACAAAAAAGGAGGAAATGGAGCCCTTTGCTGGAGGTGATTTACTAAAGTAAACCCTGGAGCTGTAGGGTGAACCTATGAACCAATCAGAACAGGGTGTGTGTTGATTCTCACTTTAAAATTTTACTTTCATGTCGTGCAGCAAACACGGCATCAAGCAATGTTCTGTTTGCAGGTTTTTGCTTGATGAGTGCTTTAAGAGGAAGATGCAGGGTTTGTTTAAATGTAAATTTGTGTTATCCCCTCACCCCATCATGCTGCCTCCACCATGTTTTACACTAGCAATGGAGGGTAAAGGGAGTTACTTTTTATGCCCTCTGCATGCAGCCCAGAAAGTTAAATCACGACCTTCCTCCACATGTTTGCAATTATGGAAGTTTAAGCGACAAGTCTTTTATTTCTCCATCAGACAGTTATGATTTGACACCTTTCATATGTTCCTCTTTTGCATTTGTTTCATTCAGGAAGATCCTGAGGGACGCACGGCCTCCAATCTGTGTTTTCCTTGCAAGTAACAATCAGGTCCTCTGTAAATAAACACCCATGAATACTAACATGAAGGCAGTTCATCCTGCTCATCCTCTGCAGATGTTTGAAGATGTCCACTTTGGTTTTCTTAGCCTCTCTTGGACTAGCCGTTAGCTTTAGCCTCCAGGATAATCTTATCAGGATATGTAGTAAGAGGATGCTAAGAGGCTTTGTTGCTGCTAGCAAGACAAGAACTATACTTGAAAAACTCTTAACTCTCACTTTTAGCCTCCTATAAGAGAAAACAGACTTTAATAATAATAATAATAAACTTTTTTTTGATAGCCCTTCATACACTAGGATAAATAAAAACCACTAGGTTGACTAAAGTGTTTTATGAGATAAAACACACAAAACACAAGGAATAAAACGGGATAAAACACCTGAGATAGCAGAATGAAGTAAACAGATTACAAATCATCACATTACTGCGTATTAAGAGCCATATTGAGCTTTTATGTCTTGAGTCCTTATTTGAAGAGGCGTGCCATTTGGTACAAATGGGGATTTTTGTTTTAATAGTTTTTGCAAAGTTAAAAACTCTAACTAGTTCTGAATATCTGCCAAATGCCAAGAACTGAAGTTGCCCTGGAAAAAGAGGAACAAGCTCTTACTCACTGCATCCATAAAATCAAATTAAATCCAGGTGACCTAAATATAAAGCCGGTCGTAACAGGGTTAAGGTTACAGCGGTAGTCAACTGAGTAATAGGCTCCAGATCAAATCGCCAAAGCCGCAAAAAGACTGTTAACAAGCTTAAAGGAGAAGAAAGGGGGGGTGTTAAGAAGTTTTTAGTAAAAACATTGGACCGTTTGAACAGATTTACACTGCAAAAAACAAAAGTTGCAGAACAGGTTTTTGGTTTTTCCCCCAGGTTGCTTTTCACATTATGCTTGAATCTGATAAGCCGTTTCTCATGTTAGCTCTCCTGCTCAGCTCCGTCAAAATAAAGGTGATAACTCATAATTTATGCTGCATCGGACTGGAAATGAGCCACGTGCATGCCGCTGCACGCCGCAGCTCCCGTTTCAGGATGGCTGCAGCACCTTCCAGCGACTTGCCTGTCTCTTTCATTTGACAGGCGATACAAATGGAAAATCTCACGCAGGCTCGGGTTCACAAAGTGCTGCTTGCTGTGAATCCTTCAAGTGACACAGAAGAATTATCATTAATTCATTAACGGCTAAGCAATACCCACCTCTTGAAGGTGTCCTCGGGGTCTTTTTGACAGTTGAGGGGCTCCAGGGCAGAAGACACGGCCGGACCCCTCAGGGTCTCCTCATAGCCAGCAGGGAGGAGCGGGGAGGCCCTCAGCTGCTCCACCAGGCCCAGGACGAACCTCCACAGCACCGTGCTCCTCTGGTCCTCCCTGTGGCAGAAGTGGGACGCCAGGCAGCGCCGTGCCAGGCCCGCAGCCAGGCCCGAGTCCGAGGTGGGCCACACCACCTCAGTGCACAGGGCGGTCTTGCCGGCACCGGGGCCCCCCGTCACCAGGAGCCCCGCCGCCTGGCCGGACGCGGGGCGGGCGTCCAGGCAGCGCCTCAGCTTGTCCAGGGCCCATTCCCGGCAGTAGAAGCGCCGGCCCCGGAGCAAGCTGGCGCCGTATCCGTACATTGAGCCGCTCATTTGCTCCGGGGGTTCTGACGTCCAGGAGACGAGTCGGTGCTCTCAACTTCACACCCCATGCCGCTTCAAACGGTCTCACTCTGACTCTTAGGAAAGGTTCCCGTTGATGTGGTCTGGTAATGTTCCAGGTGAGTTCCTTGATTAGTCGCAAGGATAAAACAAACAAAAAAAAGCAATACTTTTAAGTGAGCTTCAGTTGTAACTTGTCGTCCTCTTAATTCATTCTGATGTTTCTCCTGCAGGATCTGAAGCGCTGCGGTTGCCAGTCTTCGCCATGCGTCTCTAGCAGATCGAGGAGCTGCTCAGGCAGAAATCAGAAGCAGAAAGCCAGGATGAGTCAATGAAACAACATTTCTCACATATTTCGTTGCACTTCATCTCACCCGGCCTGTGTCGTCTTCCGTTTACAGATTTCTTTCTCTCCCCTTCCAGTTATCGCCCGTCTCCGGACATCGAACCTTACCGTCTGCTTTTACTTTCTCTCTCTTTCTCCTTACTCTCCTACCTTCTCTCTCCCTCTGCCTCTCTGTCTCTCATGCTCTCCGGTTTTTCTTGTTTTCTTTTTTTTTTCTGTCTCCACCCTCTCGTGGTGTGTCTCGGCATGTTCAGACACGCGCAGGAGATCGGCGAGCAAAGAGGGAGGACTCGTGTGGGAGCGAGTTTTCTCCTTCAGCTGACAGGAGGGAGGAGTCACCTGGGGTCAAGGTTCAGCCACAGGACAATAACACACTGCACTAGGTGTCGTGCTTTTCTAGAAATCAAAATTAGTCTGGTTGTAACTTTTTAAATTTGAGTCTTTATGCTGAGCTTGCTTCGTGTGAATCTGAGTAATTTATCTGCGATAACAAATATGTTTGCAGAGACATATTTATTTGGTGTATAAATAAGCACACACAGCCACAGTACAACATAATAATTATATTTTTAAAGCTGAGATTATTCTTAGGGTCAGATGCTGATTTTACCTGAGATGTTTTTTTTTTTTTTTTTTTTTTGCCAAAATGCAAAATGCCGAGTGCAGAGGAAAATCACGTGCATCACCTTGAGCACACCACACCCACAGTGAAATGCAGTAATTTTATCGTGATATTTTGTGGAACTATTGTGATAACGATAAAAATCATCATTTAAAAAACAAAACTATTTATGGTTTCTTTTTCGGGTGACTGCATGGCGTAGCATTCATAGCACCGCAAACACAAAGACAGTCCTTGAAAAACTTTCTCAGTTAAAACAGGATTTTCCAGGACTCCACTTACTAAACGTAGGGTGATTTATGTCACTAAACTGCACAAAGTAACAGCATTCAACCACAGTTTCAAATTTACTGATTTTTTTTTACCCCATGCTCTTATAAAACAAACAGTGAAGAAAATGTTAAAATTAACATTTACAATAAAACTGTCGATTGTATAGCAGTATGTATAGAGACAGTGCGCTAACAATTAGTTTGGGAGATACAGTCCTTAGTTTACAAATCTATTAAAACTACAATTTTAGATGATTATATTGAAAAATTAAACAGTTTAGGGTTTCCCCCAGTGTATCCTAAGCCTGGCGGGCCACCAGGCTTTATTTGAGCCCCCACCAGGCTGAACACTGCCTTTTTTATAAGCCATTTTAAAATGTTTGCATTTTTTAAGACGTTATAGTTGGTGCTCAGGTATTAATCTTCTAATCTTTAAATAATACATAATTATCAAGTGATATTTTCAAATTTGCTGTCAACTTTAAACATTTTTTAACTCTAAAACACAACAGGCCGCTGGATGAATGACTTCCCTAGCGCCCCATCCACCGGACTTATCTGGCAACTTGCATCTATGACTGTAGCAAAAATATTTTAACCTGCAAGGAAACATATGCTGCAATTTGAAAATTACATACTACTGTAATTATACTGCACAGTAAAATCCAGCCGGAATGACTAGACTTTAAGGAATCCAGTTAAAGAATGTTTAAAGTTCCTGTAACAGCATTAGCACACCGCACCTCATTTCACGTCAGCGACTAATCAAACACCAGCAGAACTGAGATAAATCTGGCAGATTACAGGCAAGATTTCTCACTTGACAGAGCAAAAAAAAAAAAAAAAAAAACCCCTCACTGCTGTGCATATGAGGCACAGAATGACAGGCGCGCGTCAATTTGATTGAAAACTGCAAAGTTAATAGCAGTTTCTAAAACCAAGCATATCGTGTTAGAGGAAGCTGATACACATTTGTTGAACACGTCTGCTGTCAGAAACCTCCTGACAATTTTCCCCAGGAACAGAGAAATGTGTTTTGCTAGCAGGGAAGCTGATGACAGTACTGAGGAAAACTGGCACTGGGCTGTGAGGACGTCTACATTCTTGTCATTGCTGGTGGTAAAGCATTGTAAACCTGGCAAGCGGCCGCTATGAAAACAAGCCAAAGTTTTCACTGACGTGCTGTCAATGCGGAAGTTAAATATAGTCAAATTTTCTGCCTCGCATTCAATTGGGACTTGAACGTTTGCGTACCAAATGAAGTGACTGACAGCGAAGCCTCTGTTAATATTACTTATGTAACCTGTTTGTATGGTTGCACATTAAAAAAAAGAGAAATAAAATCTATATCTATATAAAATCTCTATTTAGAGCCAGTAGATGTTATTTTTAAGCCCAACGACGGTTCGTAACATGAAACTACCTTTACTTTGATATTGCCAGACAGCTGCTGAGACGTGCAGACGGTAAAGAAGCAGGAACTCTGGCCGTCTGCCTGGAAACTGAACCTTTGCATTGGAGAAACCTCGTCTCTCAATCACATGACATTTACTTCTGTGTAAATTAATTGCATCGCTAGGCAACCAGCACAGACCATGTGACGTATAATTAAGCATTACTTAACAACACCAAACGCCCACACGAACCATAAAGTCTAACTTCTTGAGAGTTTTTGTCGGAAAAGCTTAAAGACAAACAGCTGGGAATTTTACTTGGTTTCTACTTTGCAAACAGCGGAGAGGAAATCTGACCAGGGATGAGACAGTCGTGTTTTTTTCCTCTGTACCAGATACTGATGAGACTTAATTAGGAGCTTAATTAATTAGGCGTTTACCAGCGCCAACTCCTAGTTCCATACTATACATAAAAATCAAGTTTTCGCTATAAGCGTCAATGTTGTTTAGCTTTAAAATGCAGTGAAATAAACTACACTTAATCAGTATTGTGTCATTTACATTAGCATTTTGAGAAAGTTCCAGGTATCAGCTGTTTTTTTTTTATTTATTTATTTTTTATTTTGACTCAATAATGCCTGCCGGACAGCCTTGCAGCTTTAGTTTTTAATAAACTCACATTTGCTGCTACAGATGATGTTTCGATGCAGTCCGATTTGCTGAAGTGCTAGGCTAATGCTAACATGATGTCTCTGTGTTTTGATACGACTCTTTGACCATTTAGCTTGTACCGAATTCTAGCTTGTTCCAGTTAATTGTCTACAAATAAACTCAAATAGTTGAAAAGTTGTTTTTCTTTGCTTCCTCAATGGCTTGCTCTGAACGTCATTAGGTTTGTGTACCGTTGCAGCTAATTTAATCTTACGGGAAAAGTTTTGATTCATTAAAATCAACACATTAGCATAGCACTTAAATGCTCTGCAGGAAAACGTCTTAGCTGCAAGATGTAAATTAATCAAAGGCAGCATGTTTTTAGGTAATGACGTTTAGCCGTTTTCTAGCTGACCCTCTGATTGAGCAACAAACTGGTCCACACACAACATATCTGTACCTTTAAGGAACAAAACGACAGAGTTTAGTGGATCACAGTGCTAACGTGAGCCACGTAATAATGAAGAAATGCTGTTTCCTGTTACAGCTAATGAGCATTCAGACCTTATTCATTAACTGGAATGTTGGTGAACACATAATCAGAAATGGTTTTCTCCCAGGTACAGATACTGCAGTTTTGCTTAGCTTTAGCTGTGAAGGGACTTCAGGTTGCTTGAACACAGTTCTTAAAATGCAGACTTTAAGAGGAGAAATCTTATCTTAAAAATCAACTCTCACCTGCAACCAGGTCACTTTGATCATAGAGAAAAATGCAATAATTGATGTTTAAAACAACAATTAGAAGAAGGAATGCGATTTGGTTGTGTTACATCAACCTGTCAAACAGGAAGTGTATTTAAAAGCAACCTGTGTGAAAGTCAAACACGGCCAGGAGTTTAAGCACTTTTGATAAAACAATTATCTGAGTTACAATGTCGTTACACGGAATACATTTGTCTTCTTTCACGTTGCAAATCAAAATTTTTTGTCATTATCTCTTACTACACACCCAGCTTCCACCTCCAAACGATAGTTTGGGTTTTTTTAAGTGATAATCTGTGACCATAATCTGGGTTATTAAATTGAAGCAATAAGCTCTTTTGTTTTCTTTTTTTTTTAAAAAAACATACCAGCAATCTCTACCAGACTTTAACAGATATCGCAGTGTGAAATAGCTAAGATAAAAAATAAATACGGAGGGATAATGCTACAATAATGACAAGAAAAAGTATTTTACTTTTACAGAAATACTTTTTTGATTTTGTTGCCGTTTTGTTAGCCAAACAATTTCCAGGTTACAACATTAATTTACAAAGTCGGTCGGCTTCATCAATGTAGAGTTATAATGTGGACTTTGCTCAGTTGTGGCAACAAACTTAACTTCTTGTGAAGGCACAGAAATGTAATAAATAATATTTGCATGCCACCATTATGACATCTGTCTAATACAGTTTATGGAACTATCGTAAACTTTACACAACCTCACTTCAAAAAAAGCTAAAAACAAATACCTGGCTTGAAGAGCCAGTCACACCAAGTGAGCCAAGAACAGGCTCGACACAACTGATATGCAGAAAATAGTAACAAAAAAACAGAGAAGTGGGGGATCCAGTGTTTCATCTTGGGCCCCCAGAGTGACTCAGGCCGCCTCTGGCTCCGACATCAAACCAGGATCAGTGAACGGTGAGACAGGAAGTCAGCCAGTTTTAAAGTTACACCCAGCTGAAGCTCGATGGTAAACATTTGCTTTAAACAAACAAAGTGTTAAATGGCGTTTTTAGTACACGATGCTTCACAGTTTTGCTGGGTTATTAAATTGAAGCAATAAGCTATTTTGTTTTCTTTAAAAAAAAAAACATACCAGCAACAACTCCGGCCTTGCGTCACAGCAAAGCCACAATAAATTATGGAAATTCCGTATTTTGCTGCAAACTACTACTGTAACTATCATAAAATTCCCACTACATGTTTATGGATAGTTAAATTATAATTTGCAGTCTGTGTATGACCGTTTACATTCACCTAGCTTGTTTTTGTTCCTCTTCTGTTTTATTTACCCCAGTGTTATTTATTTTTTAAACCTACTCGCCTGCAGCATTTCTGGCATTTGTCCTTCAACCCGAACAGCAGCCGGTGTGGGAATCCACAGGTAGCCGCTGCAGGCTGTCCGCCTGTCTGCTTCCTCTGCAGCAGTCAGACTTATTTCTCTCTCACGCACCGACACGCACACGAGAGATGAAACTACAACCGCCGTGGAAATGTGTAAAACTGTCGGCTCGCGCGCTGCTGGTCGACGCCATTGTAAACAAAAACACGAAAGGTACGACTAAATATCTGTTTTTGACATGACTCCCCCATTGCGTTCATATTTATTCTCAGCAGAAAATGACACATTTGAGTTTTTATTATTATTATTATTATTTTTTGTTAGAAACCAACCCGGTCTTACCTGACAGACACGCTCTCTCTCTCCATCTCCGTCTCCCTCCTCGGCTCTCATTACAAACACACCCAGAGCACTTCACCGGATGTGTCCTCTTCCACTGGCTTTTTATGTCATCACCTTATGTGAAGGCGACAGAGAGGTGAATCCTTCTCTGTTATGGACGTTGTTGTTTTTTTCCCGTCTGGTGCTGACGGTCTCCTAGGAGCTCTAGCTGCTTCCTTTCCTTTCTC